ACTGAACTTCTGGAGAGAGTTTGCTGCACTGAAAGTAAAGGGGCTGAATAATTTTGCACGCCCAGTTTTTCAGTTTTTTATTTGTTAAAAACGTTTGAAATATCCAATAAATTTCGTTCTACTTCATGATTGTGTCCCACTTGTTGTTGATTCTTCACAAAAAATTACAGTTTTATATCTTTATGTTTGAAGCCTGAAATGTGGCAAAAGGTCGCAAAGTTCAAGGGGGCCGAATACTTTCGCAAGGCACTGTATTTATACAATCATGCATACATAGAACTGGGCCATGCAGCATCAAGTAAAAAAGCTTAATATTTCCATTAGAAAAGGTATTGTTGTTCTTATAGAGAGGCTGCTCCAACGTATGGGTCTGAAATGAACCTTTGTGTTACTGGAATGCAACTCATTTGGTAGCACAACAACAAATGAATGGAGTAAATGTGAATTAATGTTCTGTTAGGTTATTTCTTAGTTAGATAGATGTGGATAGAGATTTGTTGTCTAGGAATGTTTAGTGCAGACAGGGTGACTAGCTTGCTGTAACTATTCAGCCTGCAGGGATTGCAGGCACGCCAAGGTTACAGGAAAAGAGCTTTTAGGGTCAACTGTAATGCTAGTCTTAATATTTGTCTTAATGTGTAAGGTTATGTCCAATTGTTTAGATACACACCACGAAAACAACAGTCACGCACCTTGACTTTTCCTCATGTTTTGGCTAAACGATAGAGCAGCTGCAAAGCTTGCTTATCGGGTGGCGTCACGGTTTGACGCCCCTTGTAGCATGGGCTAGCCCAAAAATGATTAATATTATATAGGTTGTTGGGTCCAGACTGGCTCAGCTTTCTGCTGCCTGCGCGCAGGTAGAGGGGTGAGAGAGCTCTGGACGTGTCCTGTGAATTTTACCTGTGATCCTCTGAATAAACCAGCACGGTTATTTTTTATAAAATCTAAAGCAGTCTCTTTCGTCTCATTGAGAGTTCCTGGTTTGAAAGAACAGGAAGAAGCTACACAGAAATAATAGCTTATACTAATGAAATAATTGCCTTGGGAGGTGTTTCATCTGCAATTGTTCTACCCGTGGTGTTTCTAGAAAAGGCTTTCCACTACATTTTGGAACCTCACATCTGAATCACTGCACCACCATCTCTGATTTGTTCAGAAATTCACATTAGTCTTTTGTTGAGCTCTCTGAAGATGCTTTCCACCTGGTTGCGGTAGTAATCATTAAATTAGAGCTTTGTTGGTGAGATTAAGAATGGGGTCATCATCTTCATAAGTGAAAATTAGAAGAACAGGCAAAGGAAAAATGACCGCAGAATTAGAAATGATTGTTGCAGCTCTATAGTTTGTGTAACTTAACATTTCTTACATTTAATGTATGCCTTTGTTTCTCATGACAAATTGCACCTCGCAACCAGTACTGCACCTTTTCTGACATCTGCAATTGGAAGATTTGAATTTAAAGTTCAGGTGCAGACCCACACCTCTAAGAAGCTTCCTCCTTCTCTAAACCTCTATAGTCAAAGAGGGAAATCTAAATTGGTTACACAAACTGTGTTAACGTACAGATACAAAGTAGTACAAACCCCAATTTCAAAGAAGTTGGGACACTGAAGCTGGGACATTGTGTAATACATAAATAAAAACATTACAATGACTTGCAAATACTTTTGACCCATATTTAATTGAAAACACCACAAAGTCAGGATATTTAATGTTCAAATTGATAAACGTTGTTTTTTGCAAAAGTTAGGTATTTTTAGATATTGGTTAGGTACTTGTTGTATTAGAAATGTTTTTAGTGTAGACAGGATGTCTAGCTCAGGCTGTTAAATGCTTACTCATTTTCATGAGTTACTCTAGGTTATGGTCAAGGATAACTAGATAGAGAGTTGATTACTGTATGACGTGTTTAATCATAATCATAATATCTTCTTATGCCTAATGTCAGGACATATCACTGAATGTCCTGTCAGAATGTTTTTAGATACACACTACTTAATCAACACACACACACACACACACACATTGATTTTCTTCATGTTTTGACTATTGCTATGGCCAGCTGCTAAGCTGGCACCAGAGACGTCATGGTTTGACGTCCCTGTGTAGAATGGGGTTAGCCCAAAACAGATATAATGTACAGGCCTGTTGGGTTTGGGGTCTTTCATCTGCCTGGGTGCAGTTTGCCTGAGCGTGTAATGTTAATTTTTATCTGTGTTCATGGAATAAATCAGCACTGTTTTGTAGTTACTTGGACTGCCTCGTCTCTCAGAGTCCGTATGGTAAAAAGTACCGGATACAACACAAATATTCACTCATTTTAAATTTGATGCCTGCAACACATTCGAAAAGAGCTGGGACAGGGGCAACAAAAGACTGGGAAAGTTGAATAATGCTCAAAAACTGCCTGTTTGGAACATTCCAAAGGTGAACAAGTTCACTGGAAACAGGTGAGTGTCATGATTGAGTTTAAAAGGAGCATCCCAAAAGGCTCGGCCATTCACAAGCAAGGATGAGGCATGGTTCACCACTTTCAAATCAAATCAAATTTTATTTGTATAGTGCCAAATCACAACAAAAGTAATCTCAGGACACTTTACAAAGTAAGGTCTAGACCTTACTGTTATCACTATTATTACAGAGGGAAAACCCAATGAGCAAGCACTTGGCAACAGTGGGGAAGAAAAACTCCCTTTAACGGAAGAAACCTCCAACAGACACCAGCTCTTGGTGGGCGGCCTTCTGCCCCGACCTGTTGAGGTGAGTGGATAGAGGAGAGAAAAAAGAAGAAAAGCAACAGGACACAACAAACAATCAAACACTGGTCAGGTTGATGTGGCCGGTGACTGCTCATCAGAAACATAGAGCTCCAGAGCCAAGGCAACCTGCAGAAAGGTGTGTTAGTGCCCATGGCCTGTGTAACTTGCACACCTGTGAAGGCACCATTAATGCTGAAGAGTACATACACGTTTTGGAGCAAAATATGCTGCCATCCAAGCGATGTCTTTTTCAGGGGCATCCCTGCTTATTTCAGCAAGACAATGCCAAGCCACATTCTACATGTGTTACAACAGCGTGGCTTCATAGTAAAAGAG